TTAATATGTCCCAAAGTATGTTTACTGTGTTTGGACAAATAAGGTTTCTCATATATCTATCCATGATGACGTTTCTTTTGATTTTCAGTATACTACCTACATGTATTGCATTATGATGTGTTCACATATAATAGTATTGTATCATCTATACTGAAACGTTTCTACTATTCTCACAATAGTCATTTATCATACATGCTATTCTTGATCAATTGTTCTTTTCATGGCTCTCAAAACCAAGCAAACCACCTACTTTGATGACACGTATCTAACTTGGACTGACTATGGATATCAGTAAAACAGCAACTCTACTGATGTCGAACTAATATTGAGAACTCAACTACAGTCCACCAGAAAGGCTACACTTTTGCAGATTGTAATTTGTGAATATTTTGCTATGGCACATCCGATCTACAGATCCTGTGTCCTCCCAAGAATTGGACATTGCAGATGACATTTTAACTTGCAGATACCCTTTTAATTGTAGAAATGGCTGACCCTGAAAATATTCGGTGTGAAAATCTCAATCCTGCACAACAGGTAAGTGATTTTAGTAGTTTAGTTAACTTTCAGGAGAAACAATATTTACTAACCATTATTTTTATTGGTAATCAATGCATATTCAGCCACCACAAGCCATTTTAGTCTTTACGAAATTCAGATAACATAGGTCAGCTTCATTGTATGTGCATTAGGGGAATACTGAAGTCAGGACATGAACATTTGGAGTGAAGTCCTTTCTTCACCCGAACAAACACCGGAACATATGATACAAATCGAAATGGGGAATTGCAGTGGACATCATGTGTGTATGGTGACCCAGAGGGGGTACATCGCGTTCTCGCCTACAATTACGGCTGCGAGAAAGCGAGAAAGCGATAACATGGGTCGAAAAAGCGATAGCACGCGAGGAGAAAGCAATAAGGCTAGACGAGAAAGTTTTTACACCAGACACGAAAGCGATATGTATGTGGCTTTCTCGTTTCGTGTTTGTTGTGTCATGTCCTTTTTCTTCATTTTTGGAGGCTGGGGTTGTTGTTTTATAAATGAGAGCTGAGATTTTTTCCGGTCACATTTCAAATTATACCAACGGAGGGAATGTAAAACATCTCTCGCAGTTTACTTAAACATGACAACTGTACAATCACTTTCTCGCTTTATTGCCTTCTTCGCCTCATTCTATGACTTTCTCGCTCTATCGCTTTCTAGCTCAATTGCTTTCTTGCTTCATCACTTTCTCGTCTCATGTTCTCGCTTTTTCGCTGCCGTAATTGAAGGCGAGAAAGCCACCATATGTTTGTCATTGGTGCGTCAAATATGCAAATGTCCTCCATATGTATACCATAAACATTTTCGACCTTTATTGAGGTCTTGACCGTTGTAACCTTAATCAAACAACTTTTAAGTAAGAATCAAACACCTTTATGAGCAAGAATCAATAGAAAGGATGCCAGTGAAATAGTTAAGAGTTATATTTCACTGATATTTTCATACATAGCTGGAATGTTATTTCTATTTATCATCCAAATCTGGATTCCACAAGAGATGCAGCTTGGATGAGATCAAGCAATATCTCTACAATGAATTGCATCATCATAATGCTTTGTCATTATTTACCATGACATCACAATCACATCACTAATTCCATTGCCACTGAAGCATATTAGCTGTACCTTTTACACCCAGGACACCGGTTATTACTGTTTACAAACTGAAACATTGGAAGTATTATTTAGATGATAAATAGTGTCCTTTGACATCAAATACTAGTATATCAACACTCGTGGAAAAATTTTAAAATTTCTCGCACGCTTCGGAGTTTTAATCCTATCTTGACTTTTGTTGATATAATTGACACTCGGTGGGATTCTCTATGTATCTGCTTGTTTGTTTACATGAATTTCACTGCACTTACCTGCATTTGTAATGGTAAAGAATTTATCTCGGTCATCTTCACTGCCTTATGGTCCAGACAGCTAGCAACTATGGGGTTGTTAAAAAGTAAAAGAAAATATTCAGAAACTTGCAAGATATCAACATAAACTATTGTATCCAAGAGTATAAAAAAGAAGAAAAGGCGTACGCTACCTGTCTACAGGCAACCATGCTGTGTGGCAGTTTGCACATAGTGACACAAAGCACAATTGAATAGCATGCAAGCACAAGCAGGCCTGATGGCGGTGGCCAGGAGCAAAAGGATAATAGGTATTAAGGTAACTCAATTTTACTAGCTCGCTTTTGGGGGACTGAAAACATTAAAATGTAATTTGATAAAATACCACTATGCCACACACCCGATTAAACGTCCTAACGTGACCTGGGAATTAACCGGGGTCCGTGCCCACTCCTTGCCTTGTCCCACAGCAAACAGAGGCTTGAGGAATCACTCTGGTCAGTGCCCAGAGCACCAATCAAACTCCTTGCCTTGTCCCACAGCAATCAGAGGCTTGAGGAATCACTCTGGTCAGTGCCCAGAGCACCAATCAAACTCCTTGCCTTGTCCCACAGCAAACAGAGGCTTGGGAAATCACTATGGTCATTACACTGTAGGACTACATCCAACGCACTCCACGGCAGTGCATAGTGGGTGGTCTTATTATCTAGGAAAGGTGACACACAGAATGCGCTCGCGATATAGTCTTAGGCCAACAACTGTGGAATTTGTTTTCTTAAAAGATTGCCATTGAAGGACAGTAAATTTACTAGTAGCGCATCACAGATATATACTCATCAAAAAAAGTTCCCGTGACACGAATATTTTAGTGTATTTTTCAAACAAGTAAAGTTTGGTTTTCAATATTGTAGTACATGTATGGAATCAAGTCACAAAAACGCAGTTGCTACAGAAAAGCATGCATTCCATGCAAAAGTTGACTTTTATGCAAGCCCCATGAATTTCACTACCCAAGAATTGGTATAAAAACATGTGCCTTAACGGGATTCCATATGCATTGTTTAGCATCGTGCTGACAACAACCACTCAGAAAAACAGCAATTATTAAACATTACGAAATGCCACAATTTAACGTCCACAGAAACACCATTTGGTGTTTATGGTAACGTTGGAAACAGACGAATGCAGTCAGAGACCATCATCGGAGTGGCAGGCCACGCGTAACCAATAATCGACAAGATAACTGGATTCGAACAACACACCTACGAAATCGATTCCAGACAGCAACGGTGACTGCAAGAAGCATCCCTGGCCTTCGACGAATATCTTCACAAGCCGTACGTCGCCGCCTCAGATGTGCAGGGATTGTCGCCAGAAGACCCGCCAGGCATGCCATTTTGACAGGAAACAACAGTCAAGCACGTCTACAGTGGTGCAGACAGCGTCTACGCTGGACGGCCATGCAGTGGGGACAAGTTCTATTCACTGACCAGTCTCGTTTTCACCTCAGCTAAAGCGATGGACGGATTCGAGTGTACCGACGTCGAGGTGAACGTTACGCCAATCATTGTGTCATGGAAGATCGGTTCGGGGGCGGCAGCGTTATGGTATGGGGTGGGATTACAGCAAGACAGAGGACCGGTTTGATAGTGGTATAGGGAAATCCCAATGGACAGCGCTACCGCGACGAGATCATCGGCCCGATTCTACCGTTTTTGCGTCGTCATGGCCATGGCATTACCTTTCAACATGACAACGCCCGGCCTCATATTGCTCGACTTGTTCGGGAATCTCTTTAACAAAACAACGTGAATGTCATCCCCTGGCCGGCTCCACAAGTGGAATGAGATGGATCGCGCCTTCAACGTCAACCACGTGTTCCACAGACACTCCAGGAACTTCGAAACATGCTCCAGCAGATATGGACAGATATCCAACAGGACTTTGTGCGAAGCCTGGTCCATTCTATGAGACGAAGGTGTGTTGCTTGCATCGCAACCAGAGGTGGACACACACGCTATTGATTTGAAAATTGACTTTTGGCATATTCATGGGGTTTTTTTATGAAATCACGGATTTTCTGAAGTCAGTATGACAAATTAAACCATTTGAACACTTACAGGAGTCTTTTATCTGTTGAAACCGAAATTGTGTCAGACTTGGTAAAAACATAACTTTGCATTAAATCTTATTCAATGTCACAGGAACTTTTGATGTTTAGTATATGTTGAAACCTAGTTTGAAAACAATACCAAGATCAGATTGTTAAACGACGACAAAGTATAAAACTAACAATATCTATAGATCGCTAGCAACCAAAAGTAAGCCACCATACCAGGGACCATGACGACTTACAGCACCTCTACTACCTGCATGCTTCCCAAGCAGGATTTACACCATCCGACAAGCTGCCATCGATTGTTTGCATACTAAGCCGAAAATTAAGATCGCTTATCTTCTGGGATTTTAACTATGAATAGAAACAAACTATTTGACTGAAATGGTCTCAAATACCCCTCAAGAGACAATTATTTTATGCAACTTTAGTCGCCTATGCAGGCACAGCCATTACCCATCTGTAACTGTTTAATTGTACCAAGTTAAAAGATCACTTACTTTTAAAATGAATATTTTTATCGAGATTTATCAATTACTTCAATTTCTTTTAAATTACCAATAAATAAATGAACGATTGCAGAGATAAAAATATCATTTCAAGATGAAATTTTGAAATATTTATCCCTTGTCATGGAATAATCCACTGTCAAGCGGGTGACACATTGATAGTGCTTCTCTCATTACAGAACATGATCCTCACCCGTTCCATAAATACTTATGTGTATAACGAGAATGGCCAACATAACATCGTCGCATATTGACCTTATCAAGTCTGTAATGACAACTCAAGTAGGTGTAATTCATTTATACCTACTTGGGTGTCGTACTTCGTTTACTTTATATATGTAATGTCATATCTAATCACAGGTTTGATATCACGGTATGGAATTAGACGTGATGTCACCGGCACGTTCGGTGTTGCTTTAGATGCAGCATCGGCCATTGTGTTACCACTGATTCCAACATTGCGTGGAAAACAGTATCTGTGAGTATACCCCAGTATTAAAAAGCTAGACGCTGGATTGGTCCTTCCACCTTGTGCCTATTGATACAACAACCCAACTGACTGATGGTTGCTAAGCCTTTTTCTCTTTTTCTGTTTATTGGTGATAGGGGGAGAAGCTGGTGTAAACACTGGGGTGATGGTGGAACAGGGCTCAGTAGACTTGTGTCAAGAAGGGTGGTAGCGAGGTGGGTTACCGTGTCCATGTCCGTGGTTTGGCTGTTGGTGGCTTGGCTGAGTTGTTGATCGGTGTGTAGGCGGACGCTGGAGTTGGCTTGGTCCTGGGTTTGAGGTGGCCGATGCGGTTTAGTTTTGCGCATTGCGAGTCCTGGATCTTTTAGGTTGGTTAGAATCAAACACAATAGTGATTAAACTTTCTTCCTGCCTGTAGATCTGCGTTGAGGGAATAGTTGGCGACCCGATATGCCAGTAATGGGAGGAGAACTCCAACTAAGTCCCTTGGTAAGGCGTTGTTTGTGTTTCTTGTTTGGTTGGAGGTCATAGTGATGAGCCAGTCATCAGCTGAGTAACCCGATATGAATCAACGAGTAATCCGAAGTAATCCGACATGAATCGACGTACGACTGCACCACTCTGACCAATGAACGAATAACGATTAACCAATAACGATGACGAACAACTAAAAATGAGTGAAATGTTATCGAAAAGTGTGATATATATATATATATATATATATATATATATATATATATATATATATATATATATATATATATGTATATATATATATATATATCACACTTTTCGATATATACATGTACCTAGATAAAACAAAAGCGGCAAAGATCACCTTTGTTATATATAAAAACATCAATTTATTTTATAAGCTCCTTGTAAGGTCGCAACTTTTGAAATAATGTTGTCATAAGTAATCTCCGAGCTCAACATGCCACGTTTGACTCAAAAATATAAAACAAACATATTTTGTGTTTTCATTTTAAATCATATAAGCCTAATCTCCTTACCCTTTTTGCTGTTAGCCTCTTAGTTGCTACCATCCGTTCACCCCTTAATTAGTGAAAGCAGATGCGCCCAGTGAGTAGTCGTGGTTGAGTGGTAGCATATATTCGACCGATCAGGAAAAACCCAGACACTTTTTTTCTACAAATTGAAACATTTTATTTCAGAAATTCGGCGGATCGGGTGGTCACCGTTTCCCCACTCATACTCTGTTACGCAAAGGAAAATAGTTCTTTGAATATATACAACATACTCTGGAAATATGTCAACATAATTTCATTCACTGAACAAATTTACAAAAAATATTTGGGATAAATCAAATCTTAAAAATAGGTTGCAGGAAGTTGAACAAAAAAATAAACATGACCTCGATGCACCGAGGCGAGGTCAACCTTCAAGCGCAGATTTATATATATATATATGACGTCACATAAGTTGGTAAAGTGCTGCATTACTGCTTTTGAAAGTGACGTTTATGGAGCAGTTATGGAAAACACGCCGACGCGTGAACCCTCTCACGGCACTAGCAAATTGGGAATATCACCGATTTATGAAGGTGTTGCTTGTGTTTGGATAATCGCAAACCAATTCGGAGGATGCGAAATGGACTGGTGGGGATTGAACCAAGTGCTCTGAAACTTGTGTGTTTTGTGTTCATTTTCAACGTCAGGATGTGTTATGTTTGGAGTTTGGGATTTTTAGCGTGTGCTGTAATACTTTGCTTAGCTGGTGTTTCTTGTCACCTGAGATGGACCTACTGTATGACCTGATGCCAGCTTCATTACTGTGCCCCGTCACTCCTTATGTGCCGCCGCTTCTCGGCCTAGAATGCACGCGTTTGCTCTGTGTCAGCGGCCACATCTGAGCAGGGCACGACATTGTTTTCATTGGTGCTAGATTCCTGTCATATCCGAAAACAAGGCATGAAAGCCAATATCGCTCAATAAATCAGTTTCGTTCACCTCAGTAATTTTACAGAATTAAATTTCTTCACTTGCGTTATTAGTATTGAAAGATAGCCATTCCATATCCAAATCACCGCAAGGACAATCCATTTTGTTTCATGTAGCAGCTAGACGACATCAATCAAAGCATTTATTTATTTATAATTCAGATGAAAGGTTACAAGACCAGGCAAAATACTAAATTAATTATATTGCTGATAAATGCAGGTATTAAAAAGAAAATAGAAAAACGAGAATTCGGGGAAACCCCGGAAAGTAGTTCCGGCAAAAGTTCACAAGATCAATTTCACAAAAAAATTGTTCACATCGTGTGAACATTTTTTGTCCGTTCAGAGGTGGTGTGTGAACTCCAAATATCAGATCACGTGACTATCCCTTCAGCCAATCAGCATGAAAGAAACAGTGTAAACTTCAAAGTATGAAATTATTTTTTTAAAGGATTTCTTTTCAGCCCATGCACAACACAGTATCAATGGTAATGTGGAAAATTTTAGTTTGAAGGACATTAACACGTGACCTTTGGACATGATAATGCAAAATGTTACTTATCGCCGATGTCTTGTTCATCGAATCGCAGACATCCTGCAAAGGAAGCTTGGATGTTGTCTCTCACATGGGGTCATTTTAAAACCTATGATCGCAGCACATTTTTTTTTAATCCATTGATATTCATCGATAACTATTTGACTAGTTTATATAAAAAAAAGTAAACATTTAATGAATGAATTGCATATTCATGATATTTAATATATTTGATTTGATTTTTACGATGACTCGTGCCCCTGTAACCTATGTGACGTAACGTGTCAAAGGTCGCAGGCTAATGGCGGCACATTTGAGTGAAAGTGTAAACAAGAGGAAATTGACTAAGCCCATATGCATTATATATTTTTGGGGTTTATCTGTTTCTATTCATATATGTCCCTCTGACGCAGCAACTGCGTTTTGTGGAGGGACATATATGTCCTTAGGGGATGGAGGGGGGTTAAGAGTGGCACGGCTCTTGTTAAGAGTATATTTAATCAGCGTTAGAGCATTCAAGGAATCCACATTTGACGAATCAGTGACCGCCATTATATCCAATGTTTACGTAATTCCCTATATTCACTTAAACAAGTGTCACAATGTTACCGTGTTATTTAAGGTTAACACTTGACTTGCTTTTGCATGTGTTTGCGATAGATGTTACCGGTGGGGCAGGATACTACTGATATCACCGTTTCGCAACCATTGGAATTATCGCTATTTGGTAGTGATTCTTAAACACATGCTTATTGTAAAGTTTGGGAATGTACAATGAACTCTAGCAGATATTTGTTAAGATTATGGAAAGGGTTTTGCCGCTTTTACTCATAGTTGGCTCAGCAAGTACTCATAACTCAAGTTAAAAAAATGTTTGCTTATATGTTCCTGTGCTACTCTATTATATTGTATTTCAAAAACTACTTTCAGAATCAAGAAGCAGAAAGTACACTTGAGAGCATTGCAGACGACCTGAACAAGCTACATCACTACAACAATGTCTGCGACATCATCTTCAGGGCACTTAGCTTATTTGGATGTATTTTTGTCATCGTAGCGTTTGGATTGCTATTCCATGAAGAGTATTTCAAGAACTCTGATCCTTTAGCAGCTGTGGGTGCAGCTATATCCATCGTGGCAAATATTGGCTTATTAGTCAACGGCCGGAAGCTGAGGTACGACAATAGAAGGTGTATCAAGAAAGACCTTCTGCCAAAGTTTCCTGGGCCTGTCAGCGAGCGTGTTCTTCAGGGTATCACTGACATATCATTGCAACCAGAAGATTCAGCAATATCACGTTTGCCTGAGTGGTGCAGACGTGTCTGTCGTAAATGCGGATGTTGTTGTCGAGAACATTGTCTCCCGGATGACCCACTGGAGCCCATGTGTACTATCGACCCAAGTAAATGTCTGTGCTGCAAATGTTCGTGTCCACGTGCAAAGTGCCCGAACTTTTGTGAATATATGTGTTCCTGTTTCACCTTCCTTCTAACGTTTGAACTCTTTGAGAGTATCTACTACATCGTGTCATCAGGTTGGGTGCTATGCAGCAACGTCCATGCCATCATTGATCGTTTTCACCATAAGCACGGCCAAATGATCTTCAACGAGCTGAGTGTGTGGAGCCGAGCCTCAGAAGGTTTTGATGTGGCAATTGCCATCTTCACTCTTCTATTAACTTTGGTTAAATGTAAAAAGCGCACAGAGGAACGTCCAGTTATAGAGATAAGAAAACTTGTTCCAAATGTAAACAAATAAATTGCATATATTTGAATACCAATAATTAGTATGCTTCATGACATTTCTCCAATCAATTAAAGTTGTAAATCTAAAAACTTGTTTTGTTTATTTGTTTGTTTGTTGTTTAACGCACCCTCAACAATATTCCCTATATATAAAATCGAGTCTGGTGAGTCAATCCGGTGATTGACAGCATAAGCCTCCATCCAGGCAATTGGGATATGATGATGTGCAATGAACCAAGTCCCTGAGACTCTAACTGAACAACACAGTCCTCTCTTACGAAAAGCTGGGAACAAATTCTAGCCTGGAATCAGGGGGCTCGCATGCCCCAATCGTCAGAGGCACCGCCATTTGCTGTGCAGAGTTGCGTCTCTTGGGCACGCCAGAAACTTATGACGGTGGGTTCAACGCCCGGTTCACCCCGATTATAATTTCTAGGTTTGTCTACACCATACCGCTGCTCATGGGTTCATGAAAGTGGTAAACGTCTGCGACCTGCATCACTTCAGGCTTTCCTCCCACATTAAGCTGACACGCCGTGACCAGGAATACAGTTTAACGTGGCGTTAAACCCAACTCACTCACTTGATGTCTACACTACAGTAAACACTGGATTACAACATAATCACTTATGATCTGAATATGCCAGTGTCAGCCAGTGTGTTGTTGTGAGTGTTTGTGCGTGCGTGCGTGCGTGCGTGCGTGCGTGTGTGTAAATTATTGTGTGGGGAGGTAGTGAGGGCACTACAGAAAAAACGCCTAGCCAATAGAATAGACGTAACTGCATCTGGCTAATGACATATTGATATTATTACATAACCCCAGGAGACCTATTCTAAACCAAGTGGGGCGGTCGGGTAGCCTAGTGGTTGAAGCGTTCGCTTGTCACGCCGAAGACCCGGGTTCGATTCCCGACATGGGTACAATGTGTGAAGCCCATTTCTGGTGTCCCCCGCCGTGATATTGCTGGAATATTGCTAAAAGCGGCGTCAAACCATACTCACTCACTCTAAACCAAGTCCTGAAAGAAAAGAAAACCGCAAAGTAAATTTGTAAGAAGTGACTGAGCTTTCTAAGAAATGCAGTAACAGTAGTGAAATATTCGTCATACAGTGAAACCGGAAATGAGTAATAAATTGCGATAATTTCCGCACGCGAAATCTGAGATCAGTTATATGTCTGATGTTATGTTTATAGTCTGCTTTGAGCAGAGATTTCTTATGAATATGGCCAGGGTTTTGTTGCTCTCGTATATTTTAATTATCGTTGTCCGTTAATATTTGACATTTTCATGCCCATGAGTATACCGAGAAATTGACAATCTTTCCAATTCAAGCCAGTTGAATACGTTCACTTCAGGATTGTGTATTTTTTTCGGTTCAATGAAGTATGAATCGGAAAACCGATGTGCAAACTTTTGTAAGAATCCGCTACGCCATGACAGGGATAAAACATGGCTTTGCCGGCTCGGAGTCTGTATACTGTGTGTGAGTGGGATAGAAATATAGCCTATGTCATAGTATCTCAGTGAGCTACCGCTATAGAGTGAGTGAGTGAGTATGGTTTTACGCTGCCTTTAGCAATATCCCAGCAATAGCACGGCGGGGGACACCAGAAATGGGCTTCACACATTGTACATGTCGGGAATCGAACCCGGGTCTTGGGCGTGACGAGCGAACGCTTTACAAACGCACGCACGCACGCACGCACGCACGCACGCTGCATTAATTCGTTCAGTTTAACCGCAAAATGCGCCTTATCTGTCCTGGATGCTTTCCGCAAACAATTGAAATGTATGCGTCTGTTGGGGTTACCGGATCGCGAACCAAAGTATACAGAAAACTTCTTACCCAGTGTAATGATTATTGAATCTGGAGTACCTGTTTCAAGTTGTCCAGAATCACGAAGTTTGTGTAATTCAGCATCGGATCGGCGCTTTTTGCTTTGTTTAGAGTTTAATATTTCCTCTCAGACAGAAAATGTACTCATCACGTTCGACGTGCGACTTCAGAGTTGGGGGTTCTTAATCTGAATGCCGGAATGAACAAATATACAAAACATACTGGGATATTTTGATGGATTTTGTTCTGTTTGGATTATGTCATTTTCACTCTCTAGAATCATATCAAGTTTGTTATTTTTCATTGGTTTCATTTTCATTTAACTTCTCTGCGATGCATTTAGAAGTTGGAGCACTAAGCAAGGATAAGATTTATGGATGAACAACTTCCTTATTACAATTAGGGGCGACGTTTCGGTGTAGGTTCTAACAGGTTATCAAACAAGTGATGTACAGAGTATGGTTGACCAGTATACAGGTATATACATGCAGTTGCAGTTTGTACTCCAAGCGAGCAACACCTCCCAAGCCAGCACAGAGCATTGCCTGATAGCCAGCCAAGGAGAAATCCATCATCGGTAATTATCACGTTATCCTTTCAGCCTTATTCACATACTCTTAAAATCACTCTCATCGTTTGTTTGTTTGTTGTTTAACGCCGAACCTAGCAATATTCCAGCTATAGGACAGCGGTCTGTAAATAATCGAGTCTTGGCCAAGCGAGCAACACTTCCCAAGCCAGCACAGAGCATTGCCTGATAGCCAGCCAAGGAAACTCCATCATCGGTAATTATCACGTTATCCTTTCATCCTTACTCACATACATCACTCTCACCGAATTAATCACAAAACCCCTAAATCCTTAAAAACAACAACACTCAACTCTTATAAATAACCAACACCTTATCCTCCCCCATCTCCCTAACACAGCTCGCACTCATTTCTACTCACTACCCACGCCGACCACTCAAACACATGTACACCCTTTGACCCAACTCCTAAAAACAAAAAAACACCTAATCCCCCCTTCTCCTTAACACAACGCACGCTCTTTCCTACTCACCACCCACGCCCACCACTCACATACCTCCACTCCTTCGACTAAATATCTCCTAATCCCCGCTTTCCACTTGTCTCACACAATCACAGCCTTCCAGCAACAAAATAAATCTTTAATAATTAATCCATTTCACAAACCCTCCTACTAAAACCAACAACAAATAACCACCGCAACCTCCTCCGCCTCCTAAACACAACTCACCAAGTAAAAACAACAAACCAACTCACCTCCCCAAAACACCACTCCCACTCCACCACCACTCACCACAACACACGCTCTCCAACTCTCCAACACAACACCCAAACAACATGACTGACACCCGCAACGCCACACTCGCAGACATGCCAGCTCCTTACTCACCCACGCCTGCGGAAGCGCACAACACTTCCGGGAGGTCACTCGAAAACATCGTCCCGACCGAGTATGGCGAAAACACGACACACACCACCCCCACCAAACCAGCTAACTCGCCACCTCAAAACACCAAAAAACGCAAACTCGACACACCCACTCCACCTCCATCGCCCACACCCTCCCCAGCCGCCTTCCTCACCACCTTCGCCCTCTACTTCTTCTCATCAGGCTCAGGCACCACTCTCTCACTAGAACTTTCGGCAGATAAAATAGGACTTTGGTTTAAAAGAGAAAAAATAAATTACAACAATATTAAAAAAGCCAACAAAGGATACCAGATAATCTTCCCTAACCGAGAATCTTACAACGCAGCAAATAAAATAACTCAAATATTCCACGTCACAGTAATCAAACAAACACCTAATTGGCAACAATATACACGAGGCGTAATTAGGGTTAACCCAAGGGAAACAACTGAGGACTTACAATTATCCACCCTAGAAGCTAACATAAACCAAGACCAAAACCCTCAACCCCTAATCACCAGCACGCGTAGAATAACCTCAACTAGAAACGGAAAAACGGTCCCAACCTCCATTGTCATAATCAACTTAAAAAAGACCGCTAAATTCCCTGAAGCCCCCAAACACATATCCTTCGGAGCTCACACCAACTTAGAAGTCAAACCCTATATAAAGCAGGTTAAGCAATGTACAAAGTGCCTCAAATACAACCACACTGCCTCCCAATGCACATACCGTAAAACTAAATGTAAAAAATGCGCACAAACAGACTGCCCAGGCACATGCACACCCTGGTGCATCCACTGCAAATCCACCCAACACACTTCACTCTCAAACCAATGCCCATACAGACACACACTCACCCAGCAGGCCAACAAACACATAAACATAGACACGGCTAAAATCCAAACACGAAAATTTGCTACACCTGCATCTAAACCACTCCTCCCTACACCACACCCAAACACCATCTCACAAACAAACACCACACCCATAACCGACAGCTCTGTCTGGGCCCCCTACCGAGAAACCGCACCCACCTCACACATACAAGCAGCCACTCAACCAACCACGAACCCTCCCACATCTCACATAGCCAAAACATCAACCCCGCATGCAAAACAAACCTCAAAATGACCACCACAACACGACCCTCATCCAAGCACCCTACAGCCCATATGGTAACAACACTCTCCCATAAGCAAGCACAACAACAAAACACAAACACTAAGAAATCATCAGCTACACCCATCCCACAAACACCTTCACAATCCTCCACATCACATGCCTCCCCCATGGAAACTCAATCAGCTAAACCTAATCTAACCGATGACGAAGATTTCTCCACTACTGAGGAAACAATAGACACTACTCCAACTAAAACAAACCCCAACTCCCCAACCAGCCAACACCCAAAACCTAAATAACCTCACCTTACTCCTAGCATACATGCATAGTCAAAACTCACCAAAAGCTAGCATGAAATCCTTCTACAAAGTAGCTTTCAATCTAAAATTAACCGATCTTCCCTTCTTCCTCTTTAACCTCCATCTAAAAGAACTCACCGAATAAAATAAAAACTAAAACTAAATCACCAATCACCCGAACCCAATATTCGAAGGACTAAATATTTTTCAGTGGAACGCCAACGGACTCACCTCCCACGGCCATGAACTAAAAACTAAATTTAAACTAAATAAAGGCCCTCACATTGCTTGTATACAGGAAACCAAATTCTCAAAAAAATCCAAATTCACACTACCTAACTACAACTCAGTTAGAACTGACAGAGCTAAACCGAAAACAAGA